TTTACTCTATCGTTGACTCACCCAACTCGTTATTGATAACAATGCAATTACAGGGGATCTCTCAAGAGATCACTTTTACAAGGACAATTCAAAATTTAACATAAATCTGCACTGACATAAACATTTCAAGTTGAATGACTAAAGGCTCAAAAACAAGCACAAAAAAAGTAGAGAAAAAAAACAGGAAAATAGGTAATTATGTACAAAAAATAAAAATAAAATAATAAATAAAAATTAAAATAAAAAAAAATAAAAAAAATAAAAAAAAATAAAAAAAAATAAAAATAAAATAAAAAAAATCGTTTAAATTTGTAATATTAGTTTCAGTATATGTACATCACAGTATCACAGTTGGATTAGTACTAGATAGTTATTAGATTGAAATAATAAATCCGGAATTAAAAAGCTGTTTTACCATAATTTCTTATAGAAGAAATTATGAATAATTAAAAAAAATAGAAAGTTTCCAAATTTATCATTTCAGTGAAATAACTACTTATCTAGTCAACAGGTTTATTTTTTATTTCAAATATCTTGTGAACGGTTGCTCGTAGCAATTTTTACTAAGATACTTTTTTGACGTAAAAATTACAGAAATGTATATTTTTTCACTCAGTAGTTTTATACAAGCATGGACGAAAAGTTATTGCTCTTTAAAATAGTTAAAAAAACATGTGCTCCCTACAAGTAGGAGTCATATTGACATCGAAATCATTTGTCTCATGTCAAAAAACACCCAGATACCATTTTTCATCCAAATATCAACCTTTAGTTCAGACATTATTTGGAAAAAAACGAAATAAAAATGACATTTTTACACCCTGTATCTCCGAAACGAAGCATTTTAAGACATAAATTTATCGAACTTTTGTACTTATGTTTATTTGCAGAAAATGCATATGTGAAGTTTCCCGAATACAATTCGGAACACCCGGTACGTTTAAATTTGTAATATTAGTTTCAGTTAAGTTTTAACTGTGTGTGTTTTTAAGTTACGCTACTGTATTAAGAAATTATACCGCACGGCCGAAATCTACCACCATAAAGGATTTTGAAAAACATTTTACCCCTATAGTCATAAACTACCCTATAATATTTTGAAAAAATATAATATAATGGCAATCGATGAGGAATTTCTATCGTAAAGTAATTTAGTTATTCACACCATAGTAACGTTCAGACTTTATTGACCTTTTTCCATAGACATACTATTAGTATATGCCTTTTTCTCGAGGCATTGTCGCCTACTATTGAACAGTAATTTTAAGAATATTAAATTTAAGTACGCCTCTGGCTTTGTGGTACTTTTTTATTATCATTTAAGAAACTGAAAGATCTGTCAAAGGATCAGTTGCAATATTTTAGTTCCCATTAACAGTTCATATAGACACAGTGCCAATTCGCAGTCCTTAGTACACAGTTAAAAATCGGCAGTTCGCATACAATTTCAGTAATTTAATTTTACATTTAATTATTCTTTTTAACACTGTGTAAAACTAAAGTGTATATCAATAGCCAGAAGAAAAGTGTAATAACAAGTTTTTTTTGGAAAAGTTTAGTAAATCATTATATTTGGAAGGTTATAAGCGTTTAAAAAATGGAAATTAAAAAATCCAGGTCAGTATTTAAAAAAGTTGTAGAGGTAAAAAGTAGTGTTGGGAAAATTCGAATTAAATAATACGACTAATTCGATAGTAAATTAAAACTAACTAATTCGAATTATCTTTTTCGATATAATCGAGATAAAAATTAGTAGTATTTTATATTATATCTGTGGTAACCGAATTACAAATGAACATAAAACGAATATTAGTAATTAGTATAGTAATATTAGTAGTATTCTTTCGTTCGGAACGAACTGAAAATTTTCACTTAAACTGATTTATAAAGGGAATCGACAAAGAAAGGAACGATCCGATATAGAAAAATCCAGAAATCATTGTTATTTCCTATATCACGTAGGAATAAATCAGTTTAAGTGAAAATTTTCATTTCGTTCAGAACGAAAGAATACTACTATTATTTGGTTCATTTCCATCTCACCCAAATTTCACCGAACACCTGCCGAACACTAAAATTAATTTTCTTCTTTTATCTAAATAATTATTGATTGCAACTGATAAAATAAAAAGAAATAAGTAACCGCACGTAAACAAGGACATACTTATATCGTTTTAGAAGAAGCTTTTATTTTAGATATGAGCTTTTCAATAGGAATTGAAATAATCATAAACTCGGCACTTTTAAATTTAAAACTTTAAATTATGGTTTAATTTATTAAACGGCTTCGGCACAGTTAATAGAATACATTGAATAAAGAATATTTCTTTTATTTTTTATTCAATGATAGAATATAGGTATGGCAATGGTTCAGAATTTGTTTAAAATAGCCCCTAGACGAGCACTAGCTGGGATGAATTTATTTTTAGGTTAAATTTATAATACTACTAAAAAATTCGAATTATTAATTCGATTGTGAAATATGAATTATTACTAATTATTCGATGGTGAAAATAATTCGATTATTCCCATCACTAGTAAAAAGCCAATTCTGCGTTAGTCGACGATTGTAAAACATTGAAAACTGTTAAAAACTTTAATAATATAATAAACTTTACAAATCAGAAAAAAAAACAGATTGAAACAAGAAGAAAAACTGCTTAAACAGCAAGCTTAGTAAAGCTGACTGATATTTTCTGAGCTAAAAAGCGTTCTTTTTCAATTTTTTTGACAGTCTCTTTTTATATTCGTTTAATTTTATTATTTTTATATTAAACAACTTTGCTGGCGTACACCCCTATTTGCAGACTATAGATATATACAGGGTGGTCCGAATTGTATTCCGGGAACTCCGGCAGCATATTCTGCAGATAAAAATAAGTAAAAAAGTTCGTATAAATGTATGTCCTATAATACTTAGAATATACATTTCCGTGATTTTTTGCGTAAAAAATGTCTCTTGGTAAAAATCGCTAGGAGCAACCATAGCTAATATATTTAGAAAGGAAATAATCAATACATGTCATTATTGAAAATACAAGGTGTAGAAGTTTAGTTGGATTTATTTGATTGAAATGATATGTCTTAAAATTTTTAGTTTTTTTAATACAGGGTGTAGAATTTTTCTTTTAAAAATGATGATAAAATAGTTTCTGAATTAACTTTCGGCATTTAGAAGACATTTCATGTATATGATTTCAGTCATGGGTAATTTATTTGATGTCAACATGTTAATTTATGTCAATGTTGACATGTATTGATAGTTTCGATTCCAAATATCTCGAGAACCATTAAGAACCATTAATTCACGGTACACCGGACGTTCCGTAAAGTAGACACCGAGCCACGTCCGGGCCTTCAATATATGCAACACCGAGTGGACAACGGGGATCATGTCCGTGCCGATTATATTCTAGAAAACAGTGTTGCCGCAGTGGTACATTTGTACCAAATTTGATACTTTTAATTCTATTTGGTACAGTGGTACTACATTTTCAAATCCAGGATGATTCGGTACAATAATTATTTCCCACGCGCAACGAAAATGAATAGATATTTCATAATTATCGTCGTTGATATTGCATTAAACGCGCTTACCGATACCATTCAGAGACAATCCGCATTAATTAACGACGTATTATAAACGTTGTAATGTCTATAGGGTTGCCTATATTAAATAACCCGAAGAAAAAACTTAAAAATTTGCTGTTTCTAACATGCTTCTATATTTGCGTTTTTTTTTAATAAAATTTAAGTTTTCCAAGTATCGTGTGTAGTATTAGAATTACTTACATTTCTTCAACCTATACATACTTATAATTGGGTTTTCTGAATTTCTATTTCATGTTTTTCGTCTCGATTTGTGTCTTTCTCCAGGAAGTTTTTTTATGTTGAAATTTATGAAGAAATTCACAACGACCAAACCGGTTAAAGTCATTTGCAGATGTATTTTGTTGTGCTTTAAAAAATTGTACCAAAGTGGTACATTTTTAGTTTATAATGTGGTACGCGCTAAAAGTTGGGTGCGGCAACACTGCTAGAAAACAGTCGCTATAGGCCCGTAGACGAACGAAGTATTTAGCCGCGGCGGCTCATTTATGTTTGCCGCAACGGGGCCGGAATGTAGCGGATCCGACGAAAAATGTACACCGACCTTTCTTGGACGGGGCACGCGCGCGTTCCGCCGAAGCTCGGGCCGTGCTCGGCTTAGCATGAATCTATAAGTATAAATAATATTTGACAATGTTTGGCCGTGCCTTCACCGTCGCACGGCTCCGGCCCGTCACGGTGTACCGTGAATCATCCTTTACTCGTAGCGATTTTTACCAAGATACCTTTTTACGTAAAAAACGTCGTAAATGTATATTCTTTTACTCAGTAGTTTTATACAGGTACAGAAGAAGAGTTATTACTCTTCAAACCAGTTACAAAAAATGTAGGTGGCGCCCTCTGCAAGTAGGAGTCATATTGACATCACAATCAAATTTTTCATGTCAAAAAACTCCCAGACACCAATTTTGATCCAAAAATTGACGTTACTTCAGAAATTATTGGGAAAAAATCTCTCGAAATAAAAATGAAACTTCTACACCCTGTATCTCCGAAACTAAGCATTTTAGGACATACATTTATACAAACTTTTTTACTTATTTTTATCTGCAGAATATGCTGCCGAAGTTTCCGGAATACAGTTCAGACCACCCTGTATAATTCTGTGTATTTAAATTTTATACAGTATGTCCCCGGGTGGTCTTTAGAAGAAGAAAAACTTTTTTATTATTGACATTTTGAGAAAAATGCATTCTTCATAAAATTTTTTGCCTCTTCTAAAATGGTAATTCCCGTTTATATTTTTACGAATTTCGATACACTTTTAGAGAAAATTAAAAAAAATATGAAAATGTGGTTGATAGTTTTTTTTATACTTTCTTGTTTTTCTCAATTTTTTATGTTCTTTTATTTTGTACGAATAAAACTAACTTTGTTATTTTTAGGCTAGTGCGAAAAGTTACACCCGACACTACAATAACTGGGATATTCTGGCAATGTAACAATTGCTCCGAACGATTTCATAATATGAGTGGACTAAAGTTACATATGGAAGCGATCTGTACGAAGATAAATTTGAGAAAATCAACAAAAACAGTTAAAAAGCGTGCAAAAAATGAGCCAATTGTCACTAAAATTACTTTATCGGACAATCCAGTATCAAGAGCTAAGCTCTTAGAAAGCTTGACATCAAAATCTAAGCCAAAAGCGACGAAACCAACAAAAACAACAACTCGTAAACGCCGCACAAGTCAACAAGAAAGAAAAACGAAGAAAGAAAAGTCAGAATCGAACGAAGACGAGCCGGAAGATCGAAAATGCTTCTGGCCGTGTATACAGTGTCCCCAAATATTCTCTTCTCCAGCTCTACTTGAAGATCATCTTGCGAAATGTATAGCCATTAAGCTTGATCCGTGCATCCCCTACCAGAAACAGGTAAAGAAGAAATCACCTGTTTATGAAGAAGACGATGCTAGTTATGGCGATGACGAACTCTACTATTTCGACGAGTATAAGAACTGTCATATCTGTTCAAGGTGTTTCGGAGAGTTCGACTCAGAATCCGCAATCGAGGAGCATATAAAGGAACATCCAATATTTGTATGTCATGTATGCGAAAAGCTGTTTAAATCTGTAGTTAGTTTGGGATATCACAGCGAAGAACACGACAGCCTACATAATATGACTTGCCCTTGTTGCGCTTTCCAGACTACATCGAGGTTTACCTTGGCAAGTCATATAAAGGACGACCATTCTGATATTCTTAAGAAAGATGAGATACTGAAGGTCAGTCTCAAATGTGTCGTGTGTAGTAAACTGTTTTATCAACAGTCGAAGCTGCTTAAACACCAAATTATTAAACACAGGCCTGTCATAAAGGCCGAACCTTCCATGGGAGGCATTTTGAAAGTTCCAAAAGCCAAAACGAGTACCAGTCCAAGAGTTTTTCTTTGCGAGACGTGCGGGAAGAATTTCACATCGAAATATCGGTTAGTTAGACACATTAACGCTATGCACCAAGGTATTAAACCGTACAATTGTCGTTACTGCGGTAGGGCCTTTACTGGAAAGGACACCATGAAGAAGCACGAAAGAATACATACTGGTGAAAAACCTTATTCTTGCGAATACTGCGGAAGATGTTTTAGACAGCCTGGACCGTTCGCTGTCCACCTCAGAATTCATACTGGCGAACGACCGTACGTTTGCAAGTTCTGCAAAAAAGGTTTTATCACTAATCAAAGTAAAAAAGTTCATATGAATAATTGTGGCAGGGAAATGTCCTTTTTGAATATTCTATGTTAAATATTTAATTTTAAGTTTGTTTTTAATTTTAAGTTTGTGAAATAAAGTTTTGACTTCTTTCTTGATTTAAAGTCGAACGTATTGTAGTTAAGTCTTTTTTTTTAATAAGTTTCTGTCAATTTTCATAAAACCCCTTCATACTAAGAAAAACTTCTACTAAGACTGTGCACCAATGGGTCGTCTCAAACTCGAAGCGCAAGCGTCTCGAACTCTACTTCCTACGTAAATAATAGTAGGTCCACGAAGGGGCCGCATATTCGGAATGCGTCGACACATTGCTGCTCGGGATAGTTCGGGTGCTACATAAAGTACCAACGTATTAGACTAATACGTCGGCGATTTACCATGCGCTCAAAATATTGTTTCTTTCTTCGCAAGTTTGTAAATCGGATTAATTTGATTTGCGTCTGTAATGCATTTCGAGCAGATTGCTAATTCAAAAACATGGATTTTAAGACATTACCAGATGTACCTGATAAATAAATAGTCTCCAATAAACTGAGGTTGCAGATTACTGATAAAAACAGATTTTAGGTATGTTGCTTTTTGCAGAGAAATTAAATAACAGTAATGTTATTAATATATCATTAATAAAAAATAAATAGTAATAGCGCAGATAAATGCTTTTGTTTACACTGCGCAAAACTATTATGCGCTTTCATGTGAATGCTAGATATACCATACGATCGCAAAAATGGCGTCGAGCTGGCTTGGAAATAAAGATACCTGTCATTTTGTATGTAAAATTATATAAGGAATGTCAATGATGTCATTTCCAAACCAACTAGACGCTGTTTTTTTCGATCATACGGTACTTGCGATAAGTCTTGAAACTTAACTTACCCTTTATTAAGGCTCCAATCATTCTATTATCGGCATGGAAGCTTAAAACTCGTTAGCCAGTAAATTTTAGTTTATTTTTATCTTATTATAGAATGGATAACTGCCTTGATAAATGTTAGAAGAGAAATTTTTGAAAGAGTTTCAAGAACATTTTAAGATTGGCTCTGAGACTACGTCTAATAAGCATTTAAGAGATTTTATCACTGCCATTTTGATGGCAAACAAAAGAAAAATAGGGAAGCGAGCCGCAAAATAACTTCGCGAAATATAGACTGTCCAGTAAAATTATTAGTAACTATGAAACAATTTCTTCCAGACACAAAATTTAAAAAATATGGGATTGGGAGGTAATAAATCCAAAAAATAAAAATAGGTATATCTTAATTTTTTTGATAATATGTTTTTCCTAGACTTAAGTTGTTTAGTAATTTCTATAAACAGAGTAATCCACCATCATTTCGCCATTAATAATTTATCTAACAGAAAGTATTTTTTTTAAGTTAACAAAATTTTAGTTAGAATTTTGTACTAAAAATGACTAATTGAAAATTGCTTGTATTTTCTCCACTGTACAGCACTTAAGGGGAAATCAAGTCAGCTTTGTCACGAATTCGCCCATTAGGTTGCCTATCTTCCCAGTTCTTTCAATCAACGCTATTATTTACTACGTATTATAGCTATTGGCTATTATTACTACCACAGATTAGGTATCCTATAAGTATACAGATAAAAATCTTGTCCCAAATTCGTGGTACGAAAATTGTTTTTTATGACGATGTGCGAGAAAACGAGTAAAATTTCCTGTGCGCAAAAATAAACTCGCGTAAAATAACAATAAAACAGCGTAATAGAGAGATATCGCTAAACCGAATAGCGTGCATGGACGTTAATAAGGCCAGGTGTTATTTCCTTTACGTGGGGTGGTATTAACCCTCTTCATTTATAGTTATCCGATCGGAAAGAATTCTGTTCGCGTCGCGTCCGCTATTTGAACTTAACCTAACTTTGAATTTAAAGCTTTGAAATTATTTTGTTTACTAGGTATTTTAAAACTAAAGGGCTAAAGTGCTTATTTCCACTGCTTTATTGTTCAACGTCTGCCAGTAGGTTTAGGGCAACAAGCAACAAATTCTCTTAGAAGGGCTAAGTCGTCATCTACTATAAACCTAAGCCTCTTTATATGTTCTTTAATATTGGAAGAGGTGGAATCCATATTTTAGGCCATATTTATTTAATTAAAACTAATCCCAGCTACTTAAATATCAAATTACCTAATAAAACTAAAGTAATAATTCAAACATAACCTAAAATAAAAGATCTCGCCGGCCGGCCCCGGTTGTCAAATACCTGCACATGCCCATTTAAGCAATTTTTAAACGTTATTTAGAAATAGCTCTTGGTGTAATTGATCCGCAAATTACGTCAGGCGGTAATGTTATTAGCGGGTGTTGCGTTTAAAATTGACTCGCGCATATCCTAACCATGATAAGGTACGCGTAAATACTGCATGACGCTATTCGGTTTTCCGATATCTCTCTAATAACTGTGCCGGTCAGGCGCTGTGTACAATTTTAGAGGCCATAAGTGGGCGTGCTATGTGCGCAAACTAGTAACCTAACTAGTGCCCGATTCCGAAAATTGGAACCACGAAAAACAATAAAGAAAAAACAAAGTTTATAATCTGTATAATCTGTGTTACTACTATACGAACGTAGAGTGGAGGGAGATTCGCTTGGAGTTCGAGATGCTTCCGCATCGCAAGCCAGTCGACCCGTGTGCACACCCTCTAGAACATATAGGTTTCGTCAAACTATGGGAAGCATCTTAAAGTTTAGCTTATAACAAGTCATATCAAGTACGACCACTCTGATATTCTTAAGAAAGATGATATATTGAAGGTCAGCCTTAAAAGTATTATATGTAATAATTGTTTTATCAACAGTCGAAACTGCCTAAATATCAAATTATTAAACACAAGCCTGCGTTAAAAGCAGAACTTGTGGCAGAACCTTCCATGGCAGGCATCTTGAAAATTCCCAGAACCAGAATAAGGAACCCAAAAACGTTTTTTTGTCAGACATGCGGCATAAAATTACTTCTAAATATGGTTTAGTTAGGCAAAAACCTAACTTTACTAAAAACACTGCTGCAAGGAGCTGAAAGGTATATATTCGCAAATTTCGTAAAATTGGGTTAGTGGTTTGCGTTATTCGACAACCAACTGTAAGGGTCCCGGCTGTGATCAATTCGAACTGTTTTCAAGTAGTACTCGATCACGCTTGCAATTGGGTTTTTCTCTTGATCGCGACATTGTCTATTATTTTCATCAGCAATTTCACTGAAACAATCGCGATGGCCGGATATCCGGCTGCCGGATATTCGACCATCCGGCCTTTCAGCTCACCGAATATCCAGTATTCGGTATCCGGCCAAACAACTATCCGTTTCATCACTAGTATATAATATCCTAGTAAAGTGTGGTACCCTATAGACTCCTATGTGGTAGAATTATTAAAACACTTTCAATTTCAATCAATTAAACAACGTGTTATATTAATAAACTTAAAATAAGAATGCGAGATTCGTCATTCTCCAGGTGGTGTTGCAACGTTTCTTTCAATTGCAGGTCACCACATTAAATATTTTTTAAAATAAGTTTCTGTCTCAATATGTTTTTGCAAGACCATGTTCTCTTTATTACGTCCCTTTTTAACTATTATTGATACATATTGATCAGTTGCAATATTTGCCGAAAAGGAAATAATACATTTTTATATGACAGTTAAAATCGAAGGTAACGTTTTGAAAAACTCCAGTAGTTTCTTGAAAATTGACACGTTAATAAAAAATATTTAAATACAGTTAGACTAATAGTTAAATAGTCTTTATTTTAGTTTAATTTTTATAAATGTTTGTAGTAGACATATTATATACTTCTGTATCTATGTTGTCACTTAGATATGAAAAACATAGAATTTAAAAAAAATATATAACACACTTTTGCATTGTTTCTCTAAATTACATTGTCTTTACTGGAACATTACATAAATATTGTATACTCCATGTTAGTTCTTATGTTTAGTTTTAATTTCTAAATAATTTTAATTGGTATATTTTAAAAAAATACAATTTTTTCTTAAGTATCTTATAGAGAAAGCTGTAAAAAAAATAAAGCATTGGCTCTCGTGCAGAATGAATTTTTGTTTATTTCATTCTATTAAATAAAATAAGTATGTAATGCAGTAGTTAATTTCTGGTTCATGTCTTTGTCGTGGATACATTACTACAAAAATTTTGTGTATACAGGGTGTCCCAGGCTGAGCGTGCATTAGAAGTTTTTAAAGAGCTACAATAGCTAGATCGGAGATTTTTTGCATATCATTGTTTCACAACGAGATCTATCGATTAAAAATATTTTCAATATGTCGGCATTTAAAGAAATACCAGAAGTTGACAGCAATTTATTTTTTTCTGGACAGTTATTTTCGCTCTTTAATGATATTTAATAGTTGATATTATTAATAATATACTATATGATCTAAAAAACACGGCTCAAAGTTGGCTTGAAAATGATGATCGATTACTAATTTACTAGCTACTGGAAATTCTATTGGGAAAGGATGATTTATGATAATGTTTTAATCGCTCTATTCCATGACAGCTACGGCCAATATTATATGACATTCGAACAATTTAATTTATGAAATAGATAGCCACATGTCTTCACTTTATGTCACAGTTGCTGTGGTAATCACTAATAGGCCAGTGCAAATAATTTTGAATTTGCAAAAATTTTTAGAAAGCTGCGACCATTGAAAATAGTTAGCCTTAGTAACCCTTATTAACATACTAAAAGTCCCCATTTGTCCGATGTGTGCGTCATCAAAAAAAATTGGCCGCCATCTTGAATTTTGGTACTTTTTGGGAAAAAATGTAAATAACTCGAAAACGGTGCGTTATAGCGAAAAACTTCAAGAAGTAAAAATTAAAGAGAATAAAAAAGTCTATCAGAATCAATAAAGAATAGTTTATTATCCTAACGCAGTGACGTACAAAAATCTTTTGAAAATCGAGCAATTTTTAAAAGGAATCACCGAAATGCAAATTACTATTTTTTTAAGCTTATTAACAAATAACATGGATATTTAGCATCAACTCAACTAAAATACAGTCCTTGTGACATTTTCAAGAAATATTTATTGGTGGTTTAATAATATTTCAAAATTAACAAAAATTGTCAAAGCTATCCTTGACTAAATACATATGTACTAATAATGTGCGGAATCAGCCTCCACCTTGTTCCGGTCGGGGCTATTTGCACTTAAACCGAGGTCTTTTTGTTACCATTTTGTAAACAACTTGTTTTAAAAATACAGTGACAAGTTTGAAAAATTAGGCTACAGGTTGGAAGAAAAAAATAAAATGTAATAAATTACTTGCGAATGTCTTTTTGACATAAATATCATCTACGATCTTAACCTAAGATCTTAACACTTTTTCATTATGTGATAAATACATTATAAACATATCCCTACAAATCGAATAACAATAATTCAAATTATGACCATTTAATAAAATGTGTTACCAACTGTAACTTTTAACTTTTCAAACTCTCTATCTCTAGAAAAAAAATGAAATTTACAATTTTATTCGATTTGTTCTTCATCGACGATATTTGTTTGTTCTCGCAAGAAATACCATTACAGGTACCACACAAGCATGAACATGGCATATTGGATTTTAAACATGTACCATTGCGATTAAAAAAAATAGTACAACAAAATATGATTTAATCTGCTGGTCTATATTCTTGTGTCAGTGTCACGTAATTTTTAAAAAATGCCTTTAAGTTCAGAGCAAAAATCGATTATATTTACGCGATTAAGGGATGGGGTTCCCATAAGGGACATTGCAGATGCATTATGGATAAACAAAAAAAACAGTGTTGTTGGCTAAATCCAAAAAAATAATTCAATATAATTTAAATATCATTATAGACCAGGAGTTCCATCTGGGACTACTAATTTTTGTACTACTTTTTTTCTATCGCAATGGTACATAGTTTATTACATCCAGATTTGCAATTACAGTAAATCATTTTCAATACAAATGCTGGTGCCACTGCGTTTGACATTGTTGTTGGAATTAAGGTATCCGTTTTTTACTCCATCCACATTCTGTTGCCTCTTCTCCGTTATTTAGCCAATACTGCATTTATAAATAGGTCCTATAATACCACCATAGTTAGTTGTTGGAGGTATAAGGTAGTTAAATCAAATTTTTTACTATAAGTACCTGACGAGATGTAAGAGCTTTATATTTAAAATACCTCAAATGATCTAGATCTTTTGCTAGCCTATGTCGACCATATAATGAAAATAAGAATGTATTTCCAGCTTCGACTAGCTCAGATTTTTGTGCTGCAGATCTAAAAAAAAAAATTTGTTCGCAGATAAAGGATCTTTTGCAACGTTTTGAAAGTCGCCAGTTTACATTACATTTTATTTTTTTCTTCCAACCTGTTGCCTAATTTTTCAAACTGTCACTGTATTTTTAAAAACAAGTTGTTTACAAAATGGTAACAATAAGACCTTGGTTTAAGGGCAAATAGCCCCGACTGGGACAGGTGGAGACTGCTTTCGCACATTATTAGTACACATGTATTTAGTAAAGGATAGTTTTTACAATTTTTGTTAATTTTGAAATATTATTAACCCACCAATAAAAAATATTTCTTGAAAATGTCACAAGGATTGTATTTCAG